TGGTCTGAGAGCTATGATGTGATCAGCAGCCTGATTAAAGGGGCAGTTCAATATCATTTCTTCATGGAAATGCAATCAGACCAAGATGCTAAGGCAGAAGAACTACCGCGTTTACAGTGCAAAATGATTAATATGGTGATTGTTACTTAAAGGAAATGATAAAGAAATTATCATAAATGTTCCTCCATGAGCTGTGTCACCCCACAGCGGTCCGTAATGGACTCGCTACAAACAAGCGGCTGCTGGAAGAGAGTAGGTGAGTTGCGTTTAGTCTCTTTGCTAAAGAAATCAGGCCAAGCTAAATAGATGTTTGGTGACTAGTGCTATGGCTGGGACCCTATTTGTACTGTTGATGAAATTAGGTGCTGTTCTGAGCATTATTTGTGGCTACAGAGTGGCTTTTTGGTTGAGGTTTGTTGATGGCTCCTCAGACCGCTGTGTATTGCTATCCTGCGGTCATTACTAAAGTTGGTATAACTAGAGAAGCAAGCAGTCAGCAATATTCATCTCTCGACAAGGTGTCTAACTTAGTGTTACAGTGTGTTTGACCCTAAATTAATTTTACGCCAGAATATCCCTTTAAATAATAATAATAATAATATCTTACATTTATATAGCGCCTTTCAAGATACCCAAAGCGCTTAACAACACACTACAAAAAACCTAACTAAATACCAAAAGCCTGAATAAACAAGTGTCGCTTCAGAGCAGACTTGAAAGAGTCAAGAGTCTGTGCTTGGCGAATCTCAGAGGGGAGAGAGTTCCAGAGAGGTGGGGCGGCCACACTGAAGGCTCTGTCACCGAGGGATTGCCTTTTCCCATAGCGGACAGTGAGGAGCCCAAGGTCCGCAGACCGCAGATTACGCGCCGGGATGTAGTCCTTGAGGAGGTCAGACAGATAGTATGGGGCTAGGGCATGGAGAGCTTTGTAGGTGAGCAGGAGGAGTTTGTAGATGATGCGATATTTGATGGGAAGCCAGTGGAGGCGTTTGAGGGTGGGGGTGATGTGCTGCCAAGGTTTAAGTCTGGAGTGTGGAACAGTCAGCAGACCCTGATAGGAGGACCGAAGAGTCCTACTGGGAATCGTAAGGTTTAAACAGTTCTGTAATGTAGGCTGGTGCCTAACCATGCAGTGCTCTATTTAAATGTATTCTGAAATTTATGGGAAGCCAGTGGAGAGAACACAGGATGTAATGTGTGACCTTTTTGAAGACTGAGTAAGTCGTCTGGCTGCAGAGTTTTGAACAAATTGAGGAAGATTTATAGATTTTTTCACTCAGACGGGTGAAAAGAGAATACAGTAGAAGAAGAAAGGAGAACGACTAACACTTAAGTGTAATTTTGAGGTGTAAAAGATATGTGTAACTGGTAACAGTGAAAGGATATGTCTTTAAAACTGCTGACCATGTGGCTGAGTGGGACCAGGTATGAAGAAAATAAAATTGAGCCAAGAACCGAACCTTAAAGAACTCCACAAACCAGGGAGCTGCAGCTGTTTACACTGACTTAGAAAGTCCTGTCTGAAAGGTAGGAGGAGAACCGATCCAAGACTGAGCCAGAAATACCCATCCACTGCTTTAGCCTATTAACTAAAATACAGTGATTTACATTGTCAAAAGCTGTGCTGAGATCCAATGAAACTATCACAGAACATTTTCTTCAATCACTGCTAACCAAGAGGTCATTCAAAGTTCTAAGAAGTGCTGATTCTGTTAAATGGGAGTGTTAAAAACCCGATTAGAACTCGTCCAGGATGTTATGGGTGTCCAAGGCAGCTGTAAGTTGTTTTGCATCTACTTATTCTAGAATTTTAGAAGTAAAGGATAGTTTGAAATTGGCCTATAGTTTTGGGACAGAGAGGGGTCCAAATCTGCATCTGGATAAGTATCTTTCACTGAGAAAAACAAAGAATCATCAGATACCTCAGAGTTTGTCTCCCAGCAAACTCCAGTCGAGCAATATATCATGGTATAACCATTCCAATACTCAAGATTTCTTAGGACTAGACTAGGTTAAAATTCCACGTTGCTGTCTGTGTGTGAAATATCAGAGTACTGTTTAATGGGAATCAGACTTATACTTGTACTTAGAGTAAAATGCACTGATCTCCATGTATTCAGCCCGTTACATTCGCCCATGCTTTCACCCTTCCAAAGGACACTTCCTCACGTGGGCCACAGACACCCAAACATATTGATACCACAGTTTAGACTGACTTAACTGTTCTGTATTCTCACTTAACGCCACACAAATTATTGATGGCTAATTACAAATTTTAGCAGATAAAAATGGCATACATCTTCTGATCTAACGCACAACAAATATGATGTAAGAGTTTTTATCTGTGTCGATCTTGACTTTGTGACTTTCTAATAGGGGAGACTGGGGCTTGTTGTCACACTATTTACACTCTTATATATTTCTTGAAATCAATACATCATATGTAAACAAAATGTGTACCAGCTGAAAGACCAAAGTCTCAGATATATATTTCGTATTCATGTCATTTCATAAGTTTTATAAGTTGTCTCACCATAAGGGGTAAGGCGTCAAACTTGATTTTGCAACTAATAAAACAAGGACGGAACTATTGCTGTTTTCATTTTTTAACTTTAAAGTGAACATCAGAGTCAGGCAAAGAAAATGTTTATCATTGAGCTAGAAAAAGTCATTGAACAGACGTTAACGTAAAATATTATGTGATATGCACTGGATTAAAGTCCTGTTTTACCTTTTTTAAACTGAAAAATCCAGATTAAATTGAATTACCAAAAAAGAAAAAGGATTATGAAACTTAAAATAGTCCTAAAAATGTGGACATAGTTCCAACAACAACTGGAAGATCCATTCAGAAAAACTCATAATCTAATCCTCAAGATGCAGTTCCAACTGTACGCTAAAAACCTGCCGTGGTGGTTTGTACCCAACCACTGTTGTTGGGACAGCTGTCTGACTCCATAGTTCGGCTGGGGTTAATGTTTTGCAGTACTGAGCCAAGGTATGGTAGTTGACATTAGAGTCCTTTATTGTACACCAGATTGATTTATTAGCTAGGGTCACCTGCCTGACTGTCCTCAGCGTCACGTCAGGTACTACACTGCCACGTTCAGTTTTTCTTTTGAAATTCCTGACCATGTCTTCTCGCTTTCTCCTCTCCTTTAAACCACTCTTTTTTCTGTAAAAATAAACTCAAAATTTCAACATGATGTCATGAAGTTAAACAAAAAGGGAAAGGACTCAAATGCAGACAAAAAGAAGGATTAATTTAAAAAGAATTTAATAAGAAGCAACAAAAACTTACGGTAAAACTATAAAACTCACAAGACAGGACTACAGGGGAACATGATGTCATGAAGTTAAACAAAAAGGGAAAGGACCCAAATGCAGACAAAAAGAAGGATTAATTTAAAAAGAATTTAATAAGAAGCAACAAAAACTTACTGTAAAACTATAAAACTCACAAGACAGGACTACAGGGGAACAGAAACACTCAGAAAAAAACAAAGAAAATACACTCAAATAACAAAACCAGGGGAGAACTAAATACCAGAACATACCATGACAACTGCTGATAAGTAAACGTTCCCATCATCCACGTCACTCAAGCAACAGTGGCAGGTAGCTTGCAGGGAAACCCAAAAAACCCTGCGGGCACTGCAAAATCAATGGTGGACAAGTAAGGCCCATGGAATACAAATGTATGCAGATAAAAATGACATGCACAATTTCTACAATTCTACAAAAAACATCTATGGTGTCAAAAACTGCTCAGTTACACCACTGAAAACTGCAGATGGCCTCACACTCTGTAAGGACCAAAACCGGATCCTGCTGAGATGGGCTGAACAATTCGATGCCCTACTCAACCAACACTCTTCTACAGACCAAACCATTCTGGAAGAACAACCTGAACATCCAACCATTAATGACCTCAGTCAGTCACCAACCTTTATGAAGGTTCGAGCAGCTGTGCATGCATTAAAGAACAACAAGTCTCCTGGCACTGACAACATCCCAGCTGAACTCCTGAAGGAGGGAGGGTACCTCTGCACCAGGGCTCTCCATCAGTGCATACTGAGGGCCTGGGTGGATGAGTGCATCCCCCAACAGTGGAGGGATGCGAACATTGTCATCATCTACAAGAACAAGGGCGACAAGTCAATCTGTGGCAACAGCAGGGGAATCTCATTGCTCTCCACTGCTGGCAAATACTGCCTGAGTCACAGTGTGGCTTTCGGAAGAACAGGAGTACAGTTGACATGATATTTACAACACGACAACTCCAGGAGAAGTGTCGGGAACAACACCATGACCTATTTATGGCCTGTATCGACCTCTCCAAGGCCTTTGACACTGTCAACAGGGAGCTCCTATGAAGCGTGCTTACCAAGTTTGGCTGCCTAGCTAAGTTTGTCAGCATCCTCCGTCAATTCCATGAAGGGATGATGGCTCGTGTTACAATTGGAGGACAAGAGTCTGAATCTTTCCCTGTACGCACAGGGACAGGGGTGTGTGCTGCACCTGTGCTCTTTAATGAGGTCATTCCATGTCAATTCAACCAAGAATCTCCACTCACGTCACGATTTTGATGAAATTTGGTGGAGTGATTGGCCTTCAGGAGAAACTGTCAGATCTCAAATATTTTTGTTCAAAGCCATCTAATTAGTGAGAAAGGGGCTAACAAATTTTTGGCTAATTAGCATGACATGCATTACAAAACTGTTCATATCTCTGGAAGTATGGCACCTAGAGAAATTTTGTTGCTGGTTTCCCTGTTAAGTATTCTAGGCTATTTATCCTGAGCCCTTTCAACGTTTCCTTTATACTTCAAAAGTACTTTTAGCATGGTGATCAAGCTTTGTGCAGCTTTTTGATATTGTTAGTTTGTTTCCATATAGGAAAGAATGTATGAACTACAAAGAGTTTGATAGCGTCAGTGTAAGGACTGGTTCCCCAGTCGTCTTGGTCTTCTGGCTTTCAGTACATGCAAATCTTGCCCAATGTCTTCCTCCTGTGTGTCACCCATCTTCTCCATAAGGAGCTTGAGCATAGCAGTGGCGCTGCAGTGGATTTTAGACTGGACGGAAATCTTTTTAACATCAGGAGGTTGCAAGCAAAAACTAAGCAGTCCAGAGAGCGGGTCCTGGAGCTGCAGTATGCAGATGACTGTGCTCTTGTGGCTCACTCTCCACAGGACCTTCAGTTTATCCTTGCCGTGGTTGTTAAGGCCTACAGCAGGATGGGGCTGTCTGTCAACACCACCAAGACAGAAGTGATCTGCCAATGGAGCTCCAGTACACCACACACACTGCCCGTCTTCACCATCGACAACACACCACCAGCAATAACCCAATCGTTCAAATACCTGGGCAAAATTCTCTCTGAGGACTGTAGCATTGACAGTGAAATCCAAAACCAGATCAAGCTGACATCAGCTGCTTTCGGTAGACTCCAACAACCTTCATCTACACACCAAAGTTGCTGTCTACCAGGCTGTCTGCATCACCACCCTCCTCTACAGCTGCGAAGCATGGACCACATACAGCTGACACATCAAGGCCCTGGAGCGCCTCCATATTAGATGCCTCCAGTGGATCCTGGGCCTCACCTGGCGTAATCATGTGCCTCAGACTGAAATACTTGCCAAGACCAACTGCAGGAGTATTGAGGCCATGATCACCCAGCACCAACTGCGCTGGCTCGGACACGTGATCCGGATGGCCCAAGACTGACTACCCCACAGAGTGCTGTATTGCCAGCTACACCACGGCCAGCGCCTGGCTGGAGGACCAAAGAAACGCTATAAGGACCAGCTGAAGACTTCACTAAAGAAGTCTAAGATCAGGCCTGAGGACCTTGAGACTGCTGCTGCTGACCGTGATGCATGGCGGCAGCACTGCTATGAAGGAACTCAGAGGCTGGAGGAGGACAGGACTGCCAGAAGACACCAAAAAAGACTCAGGGGAAACACACCCACACCCATGACTGCCAGTATTATCACCACTACAACCTAGCCATGTCCGACCTGCAATAGAATATGTGGCTCCAGGATTGGACTCTTTCGCCACCAACAAACTCAACGTTAAGGACATAAGTGGACGTCATCATTGGAGTCGATGGACAACCCTAAGCTAAGCTAAGCTAAGCTAAAAATGTGTGTGTGTGTGAGTGTGTGTGTACAGGGTGTGTACAGGGTGTGTACATGCTACTTGCTACATAGACTGTGTGTAAGCTTCAACATTACCCTTCACATTAATGGAAGAGGGTCCAACAGGATTTATTGCGCTCGTTGATGACTCAAAACAAGTCAAAAATAAGGCTGTATGTTGTTGCGCTCACACAGTGCAAGTAGAAATAATTAGTGGCGCATTGATATTAATGCTACTAATGGTATTGATGGTACTCGCTACATAGACCGTGTATAGGCTTGAACATTACCTTTTACGTTGATGGAAGAGTTTCCGGAAGTATTTGATGCACTTGTTGATGATTTATAACAAGAAGAAAATAATGTCTTGTGTTGTTGTGCTCACACAGTGCAAGTTGAAATCATTAATGGCGCATTGATGTTAATGATCATGTGAAATTTCAGTAGCAGCGCAGGTAATTCAGCAGCGGCGGTGCGCCTCTGCTAAATGAATGTAGGGGAAACGCCGGATACCTTTTCTTTCAATTACTGAAACCGGGATAAAAAGGAGCTAGCCTGGAGGCAAGTGAGTGAGGAGGTCGGATTACTTGGTAAATTGTAAAAAACCTTTGTCTATCACTTGATCCCGCCAATTGAATTGGCAAGGATTACCATTGAAATTACTGTTGAAGCACAAATGAGGCGAGTAAATACTATTCATTCATGTGTTGAGCTATGCACGGAATTAAGCAAGTAGATGATTTTACTCGCACTTGGTGTGAGCATCCCATTACAAAGAGCTGGTACTGCAGTTGACCACTGCTGAAGATTTTGGTCAGTTCTTAAGAAGTGCTGCCTACACTCTCAATGTGCCCAACCAGACACATAAAAGTTTGGATTTAATGCGCCCTACAGTAGGTTTATTTTGTAAACCTTTAACTAGTTCAGAGTTACTTTCTTTCAACTATTAAGGCTTTTAATAGAATTTTGATGATAACGACAAGTCCTCCAGGAGTTGCTTTGGACCTTAAGTAAACTTAAAGTGAAAAATGACGCAAGGACAGATGAGATTGAGTTTTAAATCGCAGAAAAACTCACATTAGGAGAAACATCACCTAAAATAAATTAGTTTTCCTCCACTGCTTGTTTGTGGAGTTTTAATGTCTTCAATTAAACAGTGGAGAAGTTGCAAAACAAAAAAAGACAGCTTAAAGAAAAACACAACAGTCAGATTAGTCCAAAGATGGATTTCAGTGTTTGTTTTTAGTGTAGAATAAAAAAGTGTTGTATCTTTTGTTATCAGTGTAACCTGCACAGCACAGACTGCAGCTTTATATGTTGACAAAAGGCTTTGACCCTATGTCATGATCACTCAGTCAGTACACACACACACACACACAGAGAGAGAGAGAGAGAGAGAGAGAGAGAGAGAGAGAGAGAAACTTTGCCTGCACAGGTCTGTAATGGTTTCATCATGTAGCAGGATATCCCAGCAGCCCTATATAAACACTAAAAGAGGGCCCAGGGGTCTCTTCTCACTTCCTGTCCCCTGTATCCCTTCTCCTCCATCCTCCATCCTCCCCCTCGTCTCCTTCACCCTCTGAACCCAGGGGCTGTGCCAGACTTGACAGTAGTAGCAGTCTATGTTGTTTTGTCTAAAAGCCTGACATGAAATTCAAGCAACCAAATGAAATTGAATGAATTCAAAACAGGAAAAATAAAGGCTTTAATGCTAGAAAAAAGACATCTATGTAAAGGGGATGAAAGCAGATTTGACCCCAGCCAGCAGTCAGGAATAGGACTTGTGTACTTGTTTCCTCTCTTTTCTGCCAAAGTGTATTGCATCATCCCCTATCACACCATAAAAAGGTCAATAAAGCATACAGCACTGTATATGTCATTAGTTTTACTTTTGCACAGACATTACTTTGTTAGTGAGGTTCAAGGTGCGCAGTCATTAAAAAACAGGTACATATGTAATAATAAAACTGAAGCTAGGAAGTCTGGTTTTAACCTCAGATTTATCTCTTTCTTTACTGTCCTCAAATGGTTTTAATGTCCACATGTTGCATCAAGCAGCATCATTACTGGATGATCTTGCGTGAGGTAAGAGGTTCCCCCCATGGGCTGTGTCACATTTAGATAAGGTACTGATAATATCAACAAATACAGCATACACATTAGCATTTATCTTGCAAGTAAAAAGGCTTTAACAGTCTTATTACCTGTGAGCAAATCTAACATCTCAAAGATTTTAAAACTTGACTGAGTTTTTCTGTAACTCTTTATCTCTGAAGCATCCAGCCATAACAAAAAGAGGCCCTGTATAAAGACTAAGATAACACCAAACACAGGTAGAGGGTGGTGCCCTACACTGATGTGTCAATGTGTGGCCTTGAACCACACACACACACACACACACACACACACACCCTTATTTACCTCTACATGTTGCAGTATGTCCTTCGTCTGAGCCTGTAGAGAGATTATCTGCAGTGACTGAGATGGCAGGCTCTTGTCCAAGCAGGAGAATACTGAGGCAGAGGTTTCAATTTGTAAAGATAAAAAAAATATTCAGGTTGAATAACTGCATTTGCATATTGATTTGTATTAATTTAAACTAATGTCACTTTTTTCATGCAAAGCACTTTTACGTTTTACTTGCTTTGGTAATGTAATTGGTACAGTGCATGCTACAAACATGTAGCATATAACTGATTTGCATGTCTATCTTTTTATGCAAACATAATATAACTAGCTTCAACTGCAGGCATTAATGACGCATTTTCAACATTTTTCTGTTTTTCAAATTTGTATAATATTGTAGTTTTGTGTGCCTGATTTGCATTTATTTAAATAATATTTGCTTGATGTACAATTCCGCCTATCTTGTTTTGCATTTCTGAAAAAGAACTGCATGCTTTATGGCATAAATAAAAGCTAAGACTGCCTGAATTTTGCATATAGATCAAGTAACATTTGTTACATTCACATAGTTTAGATGACTTCATCTGTACCAGAATTCCATGCCTCATATCATGTTTGCTTTGCTTTTGGGAAATACAAGTGTATCCTGTTCTGCTAGCTTGAGTTGCATGAAAGAAAAGTTACTGACTGCTTAATTTATATGACAAACAACTTGTTAGATTTTCGTGTCTGAATTTGTAGGGATGATTTGTATATTTTTCTTGTTTTGACAGCTTAAAAAATAATAATTTCATTGTGCTAAACCTGATATGGTTGCCGCTTGTTTGCTGGACTGGAATTGCTTTTTTCATGAATGTTATTTACATATCTCACAAGTTTTGCTGGACTAGATTGCATTTCTTAATTAAATGGCATGATATGCATATTATATGAGTTTGCATACTTGATTTGAAAATCTATCAAGTTTGTGTATCTGATTTGTATTCATATCTTTTATTGAATGTTTGAGTTTATCTTGTAACTACAAGGTTGTTGGGGTCTGACGTGTTTCACTTACTTTATACTTACACTATCTGCCTCATTGGCTTAATAATGCTTAGTTTAAAAACCTCCATTAGATTGCATGAGTACCACACATGTTTTCTCATTTGCCGGCTTGATTTGTTTAATTTTGTGAAATCTTACTTAAAGGCAGGGTAGGCAGTGTTTTTCAGAGACACTTTTTGTCATAGTGGATGAAATGGTCCTTCTACCCTGAGAGTAGTCAACTTATTATACAGTATATTCAGAAAAAGAAATGAAAAGAATCCTAGATCTGTGGCAGCCGCAATACTGTAAACATTTTGACCAATCATTTTGTTAGGTCTGAATGTAAAGAACCAATCAGATGCCTCACCCTGTGTCTTTCTGAAAGTTTAATTGAATTGAAAAAACCAACCACTTGTCACCCTCCAGCGTCACACACGTAAACAAATACACGCCATCAAGAGGACTGGACAGGTCAGGGCCCGGCGAGAAGGGAAAGATAAGTCTCTCCTCGAGGAGATACTCACATTATCTTCAACTCGAGAGCAAAGGGAAAAACAACATTTCAGAAACATATAAACTGTGTCCCGGGTCAGAAATCCTTTCCACGGCAAAAAATTGCAACAGCAATCTACTGAAGCATCTAGAGAATCGGCATGCTTCGACAAAGTTAGCAGCTAAGGTAGCTAATACAGCATCCAAGACCGAGGGTTCTATTTTCGGACCTGACTAACACCTGGTTCACACTGGAAGCACCGCGCACAGAGTTTCGGATCGGCGCCCGTGTTAACCTATGAGACTGTTCACACAGCTCGCGCGCAGAACGGCTCGCGCTCTGGAGTGCGGCTGCTCCGCTTCTCTCTATTTTCGGCACGAGCCGCGCATGCCGATGTAAAGCTGGACAGAGCAGATCGGACCAGACAGGAAGTCGGAACAGGAGATCGAGAGAATCCGATCAATTTTCAAAATAAAATAAATTTCAATAAATTAGAAAAAAAGGATTTACGGTGTTGTTTGTCGGTCTATTTTTTACCAATGAACACACACACACACACACACACACACACACACACACACACACACACACACGGAGGGAGAGCTGCAGAGATTCAGTGACGTTATTGAGACAAAGGAGGGGGGCTTTATTACGATACAGTCAAAAGCCTCGAGCTAACAAGGCTATACATACAACGGAGTCAACAGACTCCCCAATTGATTTGTTGTTAACCCCTATATAATAATTTAAAACAATACTTGAAGATGTTGCCAATATTTAATTTATGTATGACCAAATAAAAACGTAAATAAATATTGATTTACCCATTTTTAAAGCGCTCGGAAGTGTGGAAAACTGAGGGCAGACGGAAACGGCCGAGCACTGCCGGGCTCAGTCGATGTCTGACCAGCGTGTCAGAGCGCAGCAGAAAGCGCTTT